CTATACACCATGTACCTACACTTTATTTTTTTCACTAGGCAACGAATCGACTCGAAGTTTGGAAAGTTCGATGCATGTTGGTGAACATAAATAAAAACTTTTTTCTGCCTCTTTTTTTCAGTGATTAGAGTTAATTTTACGGAATTGTGCACTTTGTTTGTTAGCTTGGAACTTTTCATTATATAGTATGTCGTTTTTCTATGTCTAGGTTAACATTGGGTGAATGAACGAAGTGCTCTTTGAGTTTTGTTTATGACGCAAAGTACCACAAACTGCATTTTTTTAGAGAAGAAATCAGTATTTATATTTTATATTAACGTATTTTACTGAAATAAAACTATAATTAATGTTAATATTTTGAGGCATTTTCACAGAAGAAATTATACTAAAACTGTGTAATTACAAAAAAAAACACTTAAAATCTATAATTTTTAAGTGTATCTGTTAGGAGCAAACACCGATTTCGGCCAATGGACGGAAAATATGGCCAAAACGCGTTTTGGCCGCCAGCCACTTGCCAATGTTCGAAATATCGCTTTCCTGTCGTCTAAGGGAGAACAGAACGCGTTCGGGGCCTTTTGCATTTACCAGAACGCATTCTGACTCTTCCAAATCAGCCCAGAAGCATTATGGCATGCGTCATTGTCAGGACGACTCAAGCACACAAATATTCAATGGTCAATGCGAAAAAATATTTTTATTGTTTATGTAAATACGACATAAAAACCTTAAAACTAACATTATTTTTAAAAGAAACGTGAAACATTAAAACGCGGAACAAAAAAAACCAATTTTCATCTTATCTATCTACTTATTTTTACACGAACTATTGTTGTGACATTTACTGTTACATACTATTTTCTTCGCCCTACCCGCGCACTTCTTGTCGACGCAATAGCGCTTGCAATTACATTGTACAAAGCCCTGTTTTGATCCAGATGCTAAACCAGAAGCTGTACGGAGAGCAACAGACGTTGATGGAACTGAAGAAATGTCGATAAAGTTTGAGTCGGCCAAAGTAAACTCATTACGACAGTACAGCGACTTCAAAGTTCCATCTTTCGTTCCTGAAAATGAATTAAAAGTTATAATGTTAAATAGCTCACATACATTTATTACACACCAAGCTGATAAAGTCCAGAGTCGTTAATACTGAGTACAATAGCTAACACATTTCTCGGGGCAAGTCTACCTCTGTCAACATCAGGTACTCGTACAATAACAGTTCTTCCTACATCTATAGGTGGTAACTTTGAATTTGAAAGGGCAATCATTTTCTCGGCTTGTTTCTCCAGTCCTTCTTTAGCCTCGTCCCGGACAATAGTTATTTTTTCAGTTTGTAGACATCGGTCACATATAATTTTCTGCTCACTCTCTCCATTTGTTTCGTTAGTTTTTCCGCAAATGATATGAATAGGTAGGTAACAAACTGAACATTGATAAGTATCTGAAATTTCTTTTTCGCATATTGTACAAAATTTGTTCTCTCGTTGATTTTCATCATGTTTATCTTCACTTTCGTCTGAATTCTTCTTATCGCACAACTTTTGCAGCTCTTCTTCTGTTTCAATGTTGTGTCGAGACAAAAGTTCTTCAGGAAGTGACGAATTCTTGAGACCGATCTTCTGAGGCGCGCCGAACATAGCTTCATAAGGACTTTTCATTATTCCTGTATGCAGAGAACGATTTTTATTGCTTTGCACGAATCGCAGCCCCTCAGACCATTTTGTTGTGTGTTGATCGGCTAACCATGTAACCAGCATGTCCCTTACATCTTGATTTGATCTCTCTACGGACCCTTGACTCTGCGAGTGGCGAGGTTTTCCATGGACCAGCTTTAATCCGGGCCACATTTCAGCAAGATTTTTGATTATACGGTTTGCAAATTCTCTACCATTGTCGCTTTGTAGAATCATAGGTGCGCCCAATAAACAGAAAATATCTAATAAATGATAGGCAACTTCTTCAGCTGTCTTTGTTTTCAATGCTCGTAGTACGGTGAATTTTGTTAAATGATCCTGATAGTTTAGGATGAAACGAAATTCTTGGTCTGGTTCACTTTGCATGTCAATTAAATCTACTTGACAGCGAGAATTCATTTCATTTGTCAAAATTGGCTTAACCACTAGTCCTTTTCGTAGAACTTTCTTTTTTAATTGGCATTGCTTGCAAAGTAATAAATAAATTTCAATTATTTGCCGTGTTATATTACAATATTTTCTCTTGAGTTCAAAATCCATAACTAAAATAAATAAAAACACTTGTAGATCTTGAGTCCATTAAAAAAAACTAAAAAAAAAAACAAAACATACCTCGTAGTCTCTTATGTCCTGCTCCCACATGAGCGGAATGAATAATGTCAAATAATTCGTGGGTCATGCAAAAATACCGTAGTTCGGCAGTTTCGTCTGTCTTCCTTTCAATTAGTTTTTCGGTTTCGCCAATTTTTAAAATATCATACCTTTTTAATCGTCGTCTTTGTTTCGAAGATATTGGATCACCGTTGCTTTCACAAGCTTTTGCCGCCTTCACCTCCGTAAGTATTTGGTCGTATCTTTCTCTTGTAAAAATATTGCTACGATCATTGCTATCACTTATGACTTTTTGCAGTTCATCATTAAAACGTAATTTAAGGTCCTCCATGATACTTACTAGCGACTTTCAAACCCGCACAAAGATCAAATACTAAATGAATGCTCTAGGCTCTAGCTCCGGTGGTATCGTTTACAAGCTGAGACTCGCATAAAATCGGCGACGCATTATGGCAATCGCAGTAGAAAGCAGAACGCGTTCTGGCAATTGCAGATGGCCCAAAACGCATTCTGGGGTTCATTAAATAGCCAGAAAGCGATAATTCGGACATTGGCAAAATGGTAACAGCCAGAACGCGTTTTGACCATATTTTCCGTCCATTGGCCGAAATCGGTGTTTGCTCCTAACAGGTGACAATACTACGATACATTGTAAGAGGCAACTTTTTGTGCCAAACTTTTTAGAAGTGTTTTGTAATACCTAATCAAAAATTGTGGTCAAAACTATTTTCAGAATTGTCTGAAGAAATCACAACAGGACCCTGTATGATTATACAGGGTCCGGCAATAGTGCGTCGGCAGAGAATTTTGTTTAAGTGTAAACCGAGGTGTAAACCCAAACTATGTAGGAGAATGTATTTCAGGAAAATATTTTAACTTCTATAGGGTCGCTCAAAAAAAGTGTGAGTGGATTGGAATGTTTTTTTAAAGGGACATCCTGTATATTATTGCATTTTTGGCCTCCTTTCAGATCACTTTACAGAATGCTAAGATATGGGTAAATATATTTTGATAGTTTCAGAGATATTAATAAATAATTAAAAAAAAATTGCCTTTCTTATCAAAAATTATTAAAAATACAAGAACTGTCCTGAAATCAAAACTATTTTAGGCATTTACTCTAGATGGTCTGTACTTACTTTTCTATAAATATGGTAATCGTAAATCATACAGGATGTTCAAAATTCTACGGCAAACTTTCTAAAATATAAAATAATTTTTCTTCGTTTATTTTTAAACGGTACACCCTGTATATTATTTTTTCAATAGATGAAGAATTAAAAAATAAACATTTTTTTGTATTTAGAGTATTTCAAAATATTTGACGGCTGCGCAGATATGCTCGGTTTTATAGTTCATATGGCAATTTCCACAGTAATTTTTATCAAAGCCATCCAATGAGTTTTCTCTTGTATTTTACTGTTGAAAGAGCCAAATGAAATAATACTGCGTGTATTCACGAAACCATTAAAAATTTTGAAATATTTTAAATATAAGAAAATCTTAATTTTTTAATCCTCCATCTAATAAAAAATTAATATACAGAGATTTAGAAACATTTAAAAAAAAGAAAAATTATTTTATATTTTAGAAAATTTGGCGTAGAATTTTGAACACCCTGTATGAATTAAGATTATGAAATTCATAGTAAAGTAAGTATAGACCATCTAAAGTAAACACCTAATACAGTTTTGATTTCGAGACACTTCTGGTATTTGTAATAATTTTTTTTTTCTTTTTTTGTAATAAGTTTTTTTTTAATAGATATTTTTAGCCGACCATACCAATAGGTATGGTAGGCTATTAGGATCGGCAAAAAAAAAGTTTTTTAATTTCATTCAATTCAAAATGAGTTATTTGGGCCATAAATGGCCTAAATACAAAATATTTTCGTGGTGTCTGTCTGTCTCTCTGTCTGCCTGCCGTCTGTAACACGATAACTCAAAAACCGCTGAACCGATTTTAACCAAATTTGGCACAAAAATACTGTGGCACCCGAGAATCTGGCCATTAGTTTTTGGTGAGGGTGGGGGGTTGGTAATGGGGTATAGGAGGGGGTTAAAAATTTAAAAAAATCGTAACTCCAAAATTACAGCAGCTAGCAAAACGCGGTTTTCAAATTAAGATTAGGAATAATATTTGCAACAAAATTTGTAATAACATCAAAATCAGTCAAAGTCGCAGTTTTCGAGATATTAACATATTTTAGTATGGGCGGTAATGGCTATACGTGCCTCCCGGCGCCAATTTTTTATTTATTTATTAATATCATTGAAACTATTAAAATATATTTATTCATCTCTTAGGATCATGTAAAGTGATCTGAAAGGAAGCCAAAAATGCAACAATATACAGGGTGTTCTATTTAAAAAAAATCGTCCCGATTCACACTTTTTGTCAGCCAACCTATAGAAGTTAAAATATTTTCCTGAACTACAACCTCGTACATACTCCAGATTTGCACTTAAACAAAATTCTCAAGTTTTTTTTTTATTTTAGGAGCTACAGATGCCCGACTATTGCTGGACCCTGTAGATAAATATTGTCTGAGTTTCACTAAACTCATTTTATACCAAAAACAGGTGATCAATAAGTTGAATACCTGCATACTGAAAAAACAAAAGATATTTTATTTGATCAATCGCTAAATATTACTAAGAAATAATACCACTCTTCTCTTCTTTCTAGCTCTTCTGTAGGAAGTCCCACGAACGCAAACAACACCAATTCCAGCACTACTGCAACAACACCCCGTCGCCCAACTTCCTGGGCCACACTCCCGACTGCGACCTGGAACGCCTCTCTGAAAAATACTGGGGCGAAATCCTGGAACGCACCCTTTCATCCACTTCATTGCACGCCTTGCAGAGGGCGTGCTCACCGCCCAGGATGGACTGTAATGGCGGCATCGAGTTGAGCACTTTGGACACTCCGGTGCCGGACTTATGAAAGTTGGACAAGACCACGCAAACATTCGACCTGACCAGTGAAAGTATGGGCAGTTCGGCTGAAACTGCCATAATGTCGAAATGATTGTGTGGTCTGTGATTATTACTTTTGCAGAAAAGACTTAAATATAGACAAAATAATCAGGCAAAATATGTAGGTTTCGGACTAATGTTCTAAGTGATGATAAGTCATATACAGGTAAAATTTATAGGGATAATAATTATTAAATAATAAATTAATTATTTAATTATTTAATTTCTATATTAGCAGTTAAGTGGCAAGAATCCTTATATAATTTTATTATATACCTCTACTGCAAGAAATTTGTTTTCTATTCTATATAAATTTATTCCAAAATAAAGTTATTTTGCAGCATAATAAAGATTTTCGTAAACGTCATAAACTTAATGTCTTAGGTAATATTCGGTGGTTTTTGTTAAGTTTTCATTGAAAGGGTAAGTGCTAAATATAATCAATCTGTTTTTTTTCTGGAATTTTTAGTAATCAGCACTGATAAAAGATTAAATTTAACATTCCTAATTTTTTGCGTAGAAATTTGTCTATGAATTTAGAAATATAGAACTATGTGGAATGTGGATAACATAGGAGGTTCCAACACTGCAAGGTTTAGATACACCGTAGAGAAATCTCAGATGAATAAACTAACTAAAAAGATTTTTTTAATTTCCCGGAAAATGTCAAGAAAATTTTTAAATTTTCAACAATTTTTTTTCGCAAAAAAACCTCTTAGGCGTGTTTCTAGGGTCGAAATATACTACCAGATAAAATACTTGCACTTATTTCTGAGGCACCCTGTATAAATGTACTGACCTCGGTACTGACGGTCTTGATGGAACACGATTTAATATTGGCAAACAAGCAAAATCTATCTCCTAATATTTTAGTTATAAAGGAAATTTTAGTGTATTCCTGATGGCTATTGTAAATCCTAATTATGCTTTGATTACCCTAGATGCTGAAACAAGTTGTAGGGCTTTCAATAGTTCAGTTATTCGAAATACAAGCTTGTGGATTTGTTGCAAAATTATTTGTTCATTTCGGAACTTTCAAATTCCACATTACAGAGTATGAGGGTACTGAACAAGAGCATCATTTTTAATCACGGAGTCGTAGTATAATCGAATTGGAATAATTGTAACAATATTTCGAATAATAAAATTGTCAAATGCATAAATTTAGCACTGTAGAGTTATCAGTATTATACTATATATATATATATATATATATATATATATATATATATATATATATATATATATATATATATATATATATATATATATATATATATATATATATATATATATATATATATATATATATATATATATATATATATATATATATATATATATATATATATATATATATATATATATATATATATATATATATATATATATATATATATATATATATATATATATATATATATATATATATATATATATATATATATATATATATATATATATATATATATATATATATATATATATATATGCTATATATATATATATATATATATATATATATATATATATATATATATGTAATTTTATGGCATTTGCAAAGCACAGCAAAAAAACATTTTTCGTTTTTGTGATTTACTCTAATCTATAAATTATTTAATGATTCCAAATTTCCATCTTACTAGACATTAAATAAAAGTAAACTCCTAAGGTGCAGCAGCAAGGATTTTAGAAATTTACTGAGTTAATGTATGGCAGCAGTGATCATATGAAAGTTTATTATAAGTTCTATTTATTATTTGGTATACAGGCTGCCCCAGGCTGAGCGTGCATGAGAAGTTTTTAGAGAATCACTATATAATAGATCGGAGATTTTTTGCACATCATTATTTTACAACGAGATCTATCGATTAAATATGGCGGCATTTACAATATGGCGGTACTTTCGGAAATACCGAGAGTTGACAACAACTTTCTTATTTTAAATGAATGCCCCCATTTTTTATTACATACTGAAATTCTTTGTAAAATTCTATGAATATTGATGTTAAACACTCTATATCTAGCATTAACCGTTTTTGAGAAAAAAACATATTTAAAATATTTGGACGAAAAAAACCACCTGTCAAAAAAATTTGTATTGCCTAAAAGTCAAATTTAGTGATTATCACAGTCACTGTGACATAAAGAGAAGACACGTGGCTATCTATTTCAAAACTGATATTGTTCAAATGACATATAATAATGGCGGTATGTCATGGAATTGAGCGATTAAAAATTCACAGATTTTGCAACATGCGCAACCATCATAGGCGTATTGAAAATACCAGACACAAGTTGGCGGTCGTCGAAGAAAAAAACTTTTTTTTTACACACCCCTTAATTTTAAATGAACTTATTCGATACTTTACGGTCACCCTTATAATGTTTACTACTGAACTGTGATATTTATTTCTTGGTTACAGAAACCATGCAATGTAAGGTCGTGGCGGTAAGCAGCAAAAATAAATTACATTAATAAAAATTAATGTAAAAAATAAAATTTGGTCACAAAAAGTTTTTATTATTTTTCTAAAGTTCTACGATGGTAATAACCATAAATATAAAATCTTGACACTTAGTGATGGTGGTTTCATTATGTTGTTTCTTGCATTGGACTTTATTAATTAAATATAAATCTGAAACAAAATTTCTGATTTTAACGGTATGTACCTATAATTTTTTAATATTAATTCTGAAAAATAAGAAAGTAAACGTAATAATAATTAATATCGGTTTAAAGGTCGAAACTACCAGTATGATTAGATTATCGATGTATACATGTATACTCTTTTTTTTTTCTCAGGTAAGACAGACTTTTCTTGTCATCGTCTGATGACATCCCATACCAATCTATTTATTTTACTTAAAAAAGTTTCCAATATTTTTTAAGTTAGTTATGGATGGGTTTAAATATAAATCCGTCATGCGTAGTCTCTTGTTGTTTTTAACCAGTTTTATTGGTTTATTTCAAAAATGACAGATAATATTTCAATTTTACTGGTTTGACGAAACGATGAACGACAAATGGACGCCGGATTAGGATTATAAGCCCCTCAATTTTAATATCTTTGACATGTGTGCCTGTCCAGTGGCCTATTATAAAATATTTTTGAAATGCTGCGAATAAGAAACTTCTTATTTCTTATGAAAATCATTTTTATTATCTTGGCTCTCCGAGACGTTTTCCATATCCGTATATACACTAGTGGTAAGTCACGGTAATATTTATTAACCATATTCATATTAGGTATTATTACTTACCTTCCTGATTTATATTTCCTGTTGTCTCTGATGGTCCTTCAAAATCTTCCAAGGTCGAAAAAGAAGTACCGATTGTAGTTACTGATAAAACTTTAGCAATTTTCTTGCGATTTCTATAGGCTCGACAACGTTCGACGTTTAATTTAAGTTTTCTAGCTTTTTTTTTCATCTTCTGTAGTATTTAAGATTTTTTTTAACGAAGATTCAGTTAATGAACGATGAACCGTTTCGCTTATCCGCCATTTTTTAAAAGGTACCACAGACCACTTGATTCGAGTCATCACGTGAACTATTGGATTTTATATGTATATATTATATTTGCATTTTATATCCGATTCAACTTATGACTTCCGATCTGATTACTCCTACACTGATATAATCTGTATTACGACTTATGCTAGGTTAATTAAGGAAATTTGCGACCAATTTTGAATTAAGTTATACTGCAAAGACTATATAAGCATAGCCTATGATTTGTCGTTGTCAATTATAATTTAAAAGTAAATATACGTAAAAATATTATTTTTATAAAGCCATAAAGGAGAACAACACTTGAACAGACCATCCAAGAGATAATTAAATTAAAAAATTAACTTTTAACTGTCATAATTTACACGACCATTAGTTTTTACCTTTTCGATAAGTTATGAGATCGTTGGGATACGAGAGGTGCTTAGACATTTTCATTTTCAAAAACGTCTTGTATTTCGAAAATGAATTTTACTTCGAAGTGCAAGTAAATTAGTGGATATACCTAAATAAGCCAAATAGGTATCTTTTTTTCAAGTAATTATGTTTATAAAATAGGCGAGTATTGTTTTAACAAATACTTATACGTATATTACGTCAAAGTGCAGAGGCAACATTATTTTTGATGTCGACTGTAAAATAATGTGATAATTACAGGAGATATAAAAAATGATATACAAATACATAAAACATGACAGAAAGTTTAGCAAATATTATATTACAATCAAAAATAACATACATGCATACATATAAATTTAAAATGTGGTAAAATACAAATATGAGGTATGGGTGCAAAATATGACATGTGCATTGGTGGCTGACACACTGGATAAAATCAAAAAAATTGCTAATCAATTAAAAAATGCAATAAAAAAGTTAGCGTCTTTTTAACTTATATTAATAACAACTAAAGTATACTAAAATCGATAAATTTTATAACTAGACAATTCCATAATTTCGGAGAAAAAAGAATATTATTATATGTATCGATTTAAAGTCTAAAGCACTTCGCTATTAAATTCTTAAGAAAATCAAGAAATCAAATTTAATTAACTAACCCAATCCCGTAAGGACGCAACTGAAATAAAAATTACAGAACTGTTTTTATATGAAAAAATACATCTTGATACATGGAAGACGTGTACTAAATTTTATAAAGATATTTAAAATAGTATCAGTGTTAATATAAAAAAAACTGATTTTCCTGAAAACTTTACCGCCCTGTATAAAAATGGGAGGCAACATTACTTTTAATACTGTTAAATAATATGATAATTAAGAAATATATAAAAAAATTGTGTACAAATTCATTAAACAGAGAATACAAAATTATATACATACATATAAAATTAAGCGTAAGTACCATAATAAGGATAATACCTTATTGTTTACGAATACAGTGTGAGCTTACAAGACTCACAGTTACGAACAAAATAAAATAAAATATTTATGAAA